GAATGAAGAATATACTAATAAAATTTAAATATAATATGTTTGAAAATCATCTTTCCACTCTGACTGGTGCTTGTAGTCTCCGCCACTGGACCTGATTGACACAGGGAAGGGACTGAAGGTCCAGACTGCCACGCCTCATCTGGTGAGCCTGGGCAGCGGGAGGCTGAGTGTGGCAATCACCCTGCTGCCACTGAAAGAAGGTAACACCACATTCTCTGTGGGTTAGGATTACACTAACTATTCATCTTCTCAATGCCCATGATCTGGGAGGTTTTAAATGGATATCATTTCTCACATGTAATGTAAAGCTGTTACCTGTGGTAAAACCAGACCTTTGCAGTCCCCTCCCATCCACCCTTATCCCTCCCTCATTGCTTTGCTTGCCTCCCTTTCCCTGCTCTACTTCTCCCCTCTTTTTTGCGCTCTCCTCACCCGCCCATCGCTTTATTTCCATGGCGACTGGAGAAGTTGGGGAGTGTGATAGGGGAAAGTGATACTCTATGCTGGGTCGCTATAAAGTCAAGACAAGGAGCTAACACAGCTTCCTCCCACAGGACTCCTTCGGACTGAAAACACATTTTTTATCATTGTCATTGGGGACGAAAATGATCCCACTTCTTGGTTAAATCACAGGCTGAGCCCACAGTTCACCGTACAAAAATGTTACAACCCAAACAGCTACAAAACAGAGATGACTCACTACATTGTTTCATGACAGTGTCTACTACAACAGAGAGAACCCATTGCCTCTTCCATTAAACTGATGCACTTCATCACACATACATTCATCCCATCAGCAAGCCACAGGCGCCATGGCTTAATTATTATTCCAGTTAGTTGGCCAAACACATGATATTGAAGAGATTGCAGCAAAGATAGAGAGATCTACTGCATGATGAGTGAGAGAGTTTAAAGAGACAAGCTTGTACAACTGATTATATTTCAATAGCCTGCAGATAGTATGGTAATATGGTATACTAACACAAACTGACTGACATTAGATTAAACGCATTAGAAGTTGGTGAGCATCTGTCCTTAGTGGGAAAACACAGGCAACTCTCACTTGTAGAATTAACATGTCTTGTCTTATATTCCTAATGCAGATAGACAGATACTTTTAGTTTAGCCTCCTCTCAGCCATGAGAACTGTGCAGTGAAAATGTGTACTTGATTTGAAATGGATGGATTTGTTAATTCTTTGAATGATGCTTCAGTCAGTATAACTAATTATGAACTGTAGTAAACATCCACACAAATGCAGATAAACCTCTTTCTCTTCTATGGTAATTGTGACTTTAGCCACTTATGAACAATATGTTTTAGAGTATTGCACAGTGGATGGTATTAGAATCATAGGTAAGCATTTGGAATGATATAGTTCTTTACAGAGCAGTCAAAAAGCTTATTATTATGGTACGTATTGTGACATTTCATATTACCACACTGCCGCAAACTTTCACAATCTCCCAGCTTGGTATGCCCTTCCATTTCAGTGAGGAATGCCAACAATGTGAACAAGTACTTTTTAGGACAACTGAGCGTCTATTTTCTCCAAAATGTGTCTGCTGAAGACGTTCAAATTCATAATACTGAAGTTGTCCTTCAAAGTGTGGATCACAGACCACCCATATGGTTCAAAAAGAAATATCCATACATTTACTTATCAGTTTTACTTGATATTCTTTATTAGTGATCTGTTTTCCACAGATGTACATGATGACTAACACACTGTAAAGCCTAATTATAACCATTTATTTTGCATAGTTTTACTGATGATCAAATGTGTATTGCTTGATGTTTCAGGAGTGACCCGCATAGGCCGAGAGGATGCTCTAATTCCTCAAGATATCACTATCCAGGGCCCTGGCATCGAGGCAGAGCACTGTCTCATCATCAATGAAGGTTGATGTCAGTTCACTTCCTACAAAATGAATTCATAATATTGGCAAGCCTTTGAGTTAATGCAATTCCCCTTTAAGTACTGACAAGTTCATTGCTACCCAGTTTACATCTTTACACTGCACAAAGTGTCCAAGGGCCAGTTAATCGTAGTTTAGTGTACAATTTTAATCGTTCAAACATTTTGTCTAACTCATAAACAGATGATTTGCTGAATATGATCAGTAGGTAATAAACAAGTCTTTGATTATTCAATAGAATCAGTTAGAATAACTACATTACACTGCCACAATCTCTAATTTGTTTAAATAAAAATAATGTTTCAATGTTTGGATCTCTCTCAGTACACTGTCAGTACAGTACAGTGCATTATGTGAATGAAAGAAAATGACCTTTGAAAAGACAGGAAGAAGCTGAGTGATTGATTACACTCTTTGAGGTTGTTTTTGTTCCTGTGTGATACATCCTATATAATTACAATGCTAAGTGTTGTGTGTGTGACCAAAGCCTTGTAGTGAGGATAGAAATAGCCTGGCTTTATGTGCATGTTATGATTAAAACGGTTAGTGTAGTTGGGTGTGTAGTCTTTCAACAGGGGATTATTTTTGAGTAAGTGATGATGTAGCAATTTTCTGAAGGTATACCAAGCCTCTACTTCTTCTTTATGACCTATAACACAGGAGGGGTGGTGACCCTGGATCCCTGTGGTCACCTCTGCAGTCTGGATGGAGTACAGGTCACTGTGCCCACCCCACTCACACAGGGTAAGACACACACAAACACAAACACATACACACACATACACACAACACACAACACACACACGACAGCAACACACACACACACAGCTCAGTTGGCCCATACTGTACAGGTGTAATTTGCTTGCACACACAAGCTTTGATATATCGCCACCTACTGGCCAATAAAAGATGTGGAGTGAATGTTGACTTAATTGCATGAAGTGAGAGTACTTTCAGTATTTCATAACTCCTGTGTGTGTGTGTGTGTGTGTGTGTGTGTGAAAGAGAGAGAGTAACCACTCTCTCTTTTCTTTTGTGGTTTGGTCAACTTGCATTCCTTTCAGTGTGTGTATGAATCATATGGGCACAGTTAAAATTGTGCTGACGTTCTGCATGGAAACGGCAGGGTGTACAGTATGTTTGTGTGTGTGTATTTTCACATAAATCTATAGGCCTATGTGTGCGTGAGCATTTCCACATGTTTGTGTACCTCTGGTTTGGGTTCATTCGTAGTGGTTTGGAACAGCGAGCCGGGAGTGAGTCACAGCTTCCAGCAAATGCGGAGGATACACTGCTGATCGAATTATGTTACAGCAGACTGCAGCTTGCACACACAAATTCAAATTAGTATTAGTATTTCTTTTCTTATCTTTTTGTCCGCCCCTGCCAACGTCCCTGTGTCTATTCTTTGTCTGCCAATATCTTGATCTGTTTATCTCGTGTCTGTCTGTCCTTTCTTTTGTTCTCCCTTCTCCCAAATCCCCTTTCCCAGTTGCAGAGCTCTCCATGTTTCACTGTTCTTGCCTTCGGTAAAAATTTCCACTTTGTTTTCCTTCCTTTTCTTTTCCTTCTCTTACACCCTGGCTTTTTCTTCTCCGTGTGTCCTTCTTTCTGTGTATGCCTTTTCTCCTTTTCAGTGTGTCCTGTGTGGCCTGGCCATTTTAAGTTAAATATTGACAGGCCTATTTATCTTCCCGCCGTGCCTGGTTGATTCAAATATTTACAATGTTTTGCTGTGCCTACACACACACACACAAACACAGGCCAGGATTTTGTAAAGTCGCAGGGGTGGAGAAAAGGACTGAAAGAGAAAAAGTGGTTAAAAAAGAAAGTCAAAAGGGCATGGTTTGTAAAATTATGGAGTGAGAGAGCGAACATCTTTCAGGAATATCTACTGGCCTTGGATGCTCTGGGTTGAGTTAGTCTAACCACACACACAGACACACACACGGACACACTGTAGGGCAGTCTGGAGATGATTAGCTATGTTTAGGAAGTGATCTGTTCTGTATTTGGAACTTCTGCGCTTGACCTGGAATCACATCAGCATCACTCCTAACTCACCAGAACAGCTGGAAGTCACTTGTTGAATAGTAATATGTTTACGGCATAATAACAGCAAAGATGACAATGAAAATCACTGTGCATCAACAACAACAATGACAAACGAGCAGTATAACAGCTGCAGACTTACTTATTTCTATATCCGCAAATTCAGTTTATACATTTGAATGGAGTCTGGGTATAAGACTCAATGTCCCAGCATTCACAACACCATGAAGCAAATGCAAATCTGGCTGCTAAACAAAACACAGCTGCTCTGAAAACCATTCTCTCTTTCTTTCTCTCTGTCTCACATGCACATCAGCACACATGGTAAAAGACAGAGTAGCTGTCAATGGGTTCATGTTGTGTTGAAAATGTTTGCAGATCACGAAGCATCTGCAAGAAACAGATGGTGAGACTACCCAGGACTTAGGTTTGGGGGCAAAGTATTAGAGATTTGACTTCTTCTTTGCTTTTCAGAGTTATCTTTCCTTTTCCAAATCCTTACACTTTGATTAGCCAGTCAGTCTGACTGTCTGGCATACCCTCAACCTTTCCTTTCAGCCCCTTCTCTATTGTTGTTTTGTCCCAGAAATCAGATTAATTGCTTCTTACATTAATTAGGTTGTTGCTTTAATAGAATAAAGCCACCCGTTTCACAAGGTTTTTTAAGTCAGCCTTTATAGACCTAGTGGTTTAGGTTTAAACGGGTCTAAGGTATTTCAAATAAAAGAGAAGGAAAATAGGTAGGTAGACAAAGAAAAGCTGAGGGGGCGTATACCAAATACCTCAATAGCCTTTGAACCTACCAACTGCGGAGAGGGGTAGTGGCGTTACACGGGGTTAGTTTGCATATGTTTTTTAATTCTTAACACTTGTGTTTCTTCTCTTTATATTGCTGTTTCCAACTCGTAAATATCCAGTAGTGACATTATGTTTCTGGATTGTATTAAAAACCGTTTGCTCTCGTGAGTCCCGAGCGTCGAGCCCCTTTTTTACCGAAAGTTGGTACAGTCCCGGACTCAGACTTGTGGATGGTAAATCAGGCAACTTTCTTCCACACGGAGTGAAGAGGGGAGAGGAGGCGTCTCATTGAGGAGGAAGGACAAACAACAACAGAAGGACCAACCGGCAGAAGTGTAGATACAGTATTTATTTTTTTTGTTGTTGTTGTTTTTTTACCTTTTGTAGAAGAAGTTTTTGTCATGATAGTTTGTCAGACGTTAAAAAGAAGATTTCTTGTCGTGATAAGTGCTCACTGAATGGGACTCAGAAGGTTAGTAACGGGTTTCTGTTACCTCTTTTAGTAAAAGTACCGCGAAGTTACTCTAAAGACGCTGATTGAACACACTTCTGCTTCACTTAAATGCGCCATTTCTCTGTTAATTCATATTCACACCCTGCTATGTTTAGCCTATTGTACTTACCTGCGACACCATAGCATCTTGCATCCGCTGTGAGTGTGTGTTTTCACTCTCATTCTGGTGGTAATGATGGCTGGTTCACCTTCAGCCAGGGTTGCTCGCCTCTTTTCATTTGTTTTATGAGCACACTGTTGCTCACATGCTCTCTGATCGATCTCGGACCCTATTTCGATCTGTCACCATCACTCAACCCGCAAAGCATTCCCTTATTTGACATTTAAATGAGCAGTGTAGGCTACTTTTACCAGACAGGATAAACATTTGTTTACCAGCCAATATTATTGATTTTTTTTCTTTAAGAATCCAAAGCCCTTTTTTTATTGGCTGCAAGGGAAGCCATCAGAAATAGTAATGGAGTACCATCTGTCACTATAGATCAATGCACTAAGCTGAAATTGCTGGAGAAGACGACTGAAGACTGTAAAGCAGAGCCCCAGGTCTCTTATTGTTCCAGGAGGAGAGCAGGTGTGAATCCAAGCTGTTACATTTCTTACTTGCAAACCCAAATCTTGGAGATGTTCCCTCACAACCTGTGGATTTTTAGCATATTCCCTGCACCTTTTGAAATAAACCCGGTGTGCATGCCTCAGGGTCACACATTAGCAGGCAAGTTCACAGACTGGTGTGAGCGCATGTGACAAAAAGAACAAGGACAGGCCCAGTGGTCAGGATACCTGACACCTGAAAGCAAAACCTGCTTCATTGTCCCGGATGTTATTGTGTTCAGTCTTTCTTCGGTCTGCCTCTAGCACATTTGTTTGTTTTTTTAACCAATCTCGCATTATAAATCAGATAAATAAGGAATATGGCCTTTGTTATCAGTTTACGTGCCGTGGTGTGTTTACCTTTCGTTCTGATGGATTAGAGGAAGTTAATAGTTTATGCTGGTGGTTGTCCCCAGGCCTGCAACCTTCGCTTGAGAGACGTGGGGTGGTGGGAGGGTGGGTCGATGGATTGATGGGTGAGATTTGAGATAGAGCGGAGAGAAGATACCTACTGAGCCTCTGATTTGGAGCCAGATTATGCATATGAACGTGTTTGTGTGTGAGCGAGTGACTGAACTAATCTGCACCGACTCCCCCTGAGAAAGACCAGTGTGTTTTTTTATGATGTTACCGCTGGGCCCCAGAGAGGGTTAATTTGTGGTTTGGGGGCCAATTTACACTCCCACTGGGAGCTGTGTGTGCATGCATCTTTTCATGAATGAGTAAATTCTGCTTTAGTTCAGTACCATGCGCATTTTAGGGGTCATAGCAATAATTTGAGGGCAACTGGTTTTCCAAATCATTTATTTTCGGGATCTTCTGAAATTTTTGGATTGTGATTACTTTGCTCGTTCAAACCCGGCCATCAGCAGGTAGGTAGGTTTTCATCGACGCGGGATCCTTGTAATTGGTTTATTTTTCATTCTAACCTAACGGGCTCAATTTGGCAATTCCTCCACTTATGTTAACCAAATAGAGAAACAGTTTTGAGTTTCCCCTTCCATAACATTGTGGCGAGAGTGTCGTTTGGTTTTGCTCAGATCTACATGGGAACAGAAATTGGCTCCAGACGTGATACGGCTCCTACATCTGCGTCCTCAAAGACTCTGAGGTCTGACTTTGTAGATCGCAAACTTTAAATTATCCTCTAAATGTATATACAGGCTAATTTCCCGTTTTGTTGTTGGACAGAGGGTCTGTCCACATGTGTGTGTTGGGGGGGGGGGCAAANNGTAAACAAGTAAACACGTGAATGAGATTAAAAGTTTTTTTTTTTGTTATGGATGCCGTCTTTGTGTGAGTGTGTGTGGAGGGGAGTGGGCATGTTATTTCGGACGGCAGGCTTAAATTTAGTTCGGTGTGCAAGCAGTTAAGAGTCCACTTTTTTGGTTGGATGTGAAGGATGTTGTGTGTTCCCTTGTACTCGTATCACAGTGGGGTTTCAGGAGTAAGGAGTTAGGGGAAAGGTTAGGTCTTTCCTTTAATAATTGAGCAAGAGGAAGTTGAATAATCAGGTTTTAGATTTTAAAAACGCTGCTTTGGGATTTCCCCCACCCTTTTCTCTACCACAAACACACACATTCTGCCAGTATTTAATATAGTGTCTGCTGAAGATGGGAGGGAGGAAAGGATTAGCTGGTAGTGTTAGCTAAGGAGCCCTGAGAGGAAATTAGAAAGAGGGGAGAGGTGGGGGGCTGTGAACAAATCAGGGCAACACAGTTTACCCTCCACTTTAAAGGTGGCACATGGCGAGGCTGTTGAGGGTAGGAAATTAGATTTTTACAAGAGCTGACTGCTGGCAAAGTGTGTGTGTGTGTGT